AAATAGCAATAGCAATAGCAATAGCAGTTAGACTTATATACCGCTTCATAGGGCTTTCAGCCCTCTCTAAGCGGTTTACAGAGTCGGCATATTGCCCCCAACAACAATCCGGGTCCTCATTTTACCCACCTCGGAAGGATGGAAGGCTGAGTCAACCCTGACCCGGTGAGATTTGAACCGCGAACTGCAGAACTGCAGTCAGCTGAAGTAGCCTGCAGTGCTGCATTTAACCACTGCGCCACCTCGGCTCTTTTGAATGAATGAATGAATGAATGAATGAATGAATGAATGAATGAATGAATGAATGTCATATAGGTAGGATTAATCACTGGAATGTCCTTGGATAATCTGTGGGTTGCTACAGAATAGAATACAGAATAACAGAGTTGGAAGGGACCTTGTAAGTCATCTAGTCCAACTCCCTGCTCAAGCGAGAGATCCTATACCTGGGATGGCGAACCTAGGGCACGCGTGCCACAGGTGGCACGCGGAGCCATTTGTCAGGGCACGCGAGGCTCAGCCTTTTTTAAAGTCATTTTTCACCCTCCCCGAACTCAGAGGCTTTATAGGAGCCTGGGGAGGGTGAAAAGAGCCTCTCCCCCCCCCCCCCGAGACCCTCCGGAAGCTTCAGGAGCTTCCCTGAAGCCTCTGGAGCACAAAAAACACCCCCTTGGGCAAACTGGAAGTTTGAGAATGGACTTCCAGTTTGCTCATAGGGTCGGTTTAAGCCCTCTGGAGGCTTCAGGGAAACCTCCTCAAGGTCCCTGAAGCGTCTGGACGGCCTCCGGGGGTGGGGAGGCTGTTTTAGTCCTCCCCAGGCTCCTATAAAGCGAAAAAAGCATGTAAAAAATGGGAGCGCCTCTCAAGCATGCATGCGCACTGGGGGGGGGGTCGCACGTTGCATTATGGGTGTGGCATGCCTGCGCACGACCCCTCTGGGCTCCCCCCCCTTTATGGCACCAAGCCAAAAAAGGTTCGCCATTGCTGCCCTAAACCATTTCTGAGAAGTGGCTGTCCAGTCTCTTCTTAAAAGCCTCATTGATGGAGCATCCATAAGTTCTGAAGGCAAGCCGTTCTATTGGTTGATTCTTCTGACTGTCAGAAAACTTCTCCTTATTTCTAGGTTGACTCTTTCCTTGATCCATTTCCATCCATTGTTCCTTGTCTGGCTTTTAAGTGCTTTGGAAAATAGGTTAATCCCCTCCTCTCAGTGACAGAGGTCTCAAATATTGAAACACTGCTGTCATGTCATCCCTGGTCCTTCTCTTCACTAGCCAAGCCCAGTTCTTGCAACTGTTTTTCATTTGTTTTAGCCTCCAGGCCCCTAATCATGGAGATGGGTCTAGATGGCAGGTATTTGTCTGTATGGTTTCTCTACATCTAAAGAAATAGTCCTTTGCTTTCAGGAACATCTAGTTCTGGGGAACAAAGAAGACCTTCTCAATTCGCACAATTTGGGGGAAGAGGAAACTTCATCTTCCTTTCAGAAAAATAGAGAAAGTTTCCATTTTTGGTACTAGATACCACCGCAATACCAGTTCTCAGAAACTTTTCAATTTTCCCTAATCTTAATATAGCTTATTGCCATTATATGAAAGAAATATAGATTCTTTCCAGATATGGAAATATTTGATTTGGATCTAGGTATGATGTTTCTGTGCTACACCCAGAACAATTCTGAATGCTATGTGAAATTGGAAGACTCCATGGTTCTCCAGAATGTTAAGCAAATATGTGTGTGTTTCATTCCTACAATTTGAGGTGAAAAATGGCAGGAATTGATTTGAGCAGGGAGAGGGTCTTGCAACTGTACAAGTGCTTCTGCCACTGAATTTTGTGCACACCCCAATAACTGTGACATTTTTATTCCCCCCCTCCTCCCCACATTTTCTAAATTAAAAAAAAGGACTGAAAATGCAATGTTGTTTTCAGAGAATTGCACTAAGAGCTGGTTGTATAACAAACGGGACACTCCCAACATTTGTGCTAGTTTTCCTAAGAGTCCTAACAGCAAGTCACATCAAAGTGGATCTCTGGGATACATCATATGAACATCACAAGTCCAGTGGCTACAGGGAACTTATGAATCAGCTGTATTATCTTGAGATGATTCAAGGAAACAGAGAACTTCAGTCTGTGTTCTGATGACCTATAGTAACCAAGTCAGATGTACCATCTTTTGATATTGTAATCTAAAATCCTAAAATTGTTTGAGGTAGGTCATCCGAGTGATGGGTGTTGCTGGATTATGCTCAAAATCCCATGGAGATTGTGCCAATATCTTTTTTTCCCCATCTTCCTGGCACACCATGGCACATATGCTATTCTGCTGTTTTATGTCAGTTTGCTTATGGTCTTAGAAGGAGGGAATGGAAAAACATTTTAAATTGGCCAAGTTCTTTGGAAAGCAAATCAGCCACCATGACTTTTTTTCACCTCACTTTTAGATGAAGGTCTGCAGGAGAGCTATGAATCATATCCATCTATATCTTGATCCACAACATGATCTTTTAAGTGTGATTGGCATTCCACAAGACTATCTGCTACGTGTAGATTTAGAAAAAAAGAATATTCTTTTAATAAAAGGAAAAAAATATAACATTCTGCAAAGCATCAGCTTCAAATGTCATTTATGTAGGCTTGGTGCTTTTTTTTTCTTTGGTCCTTTACAGAACAATCTACTCAATTGCCATGGGGGGAAGGCAGCAGAGCAGCTAGGAAACAATTGTTAATCAGTTTCCCATTAAATGATTTATTATTGTCTGTGCCTATCATTTCTGCCATTTTCATTTCAGCCATTCTCTTCTTAAAACATGCTGCCAAAATTCCAGTTTTGCCATTAGCCCCATAAATGTAGCTATCTTGACCTATGTCTTTTATATGTGTGTTTTTCTTTCTGTAATTAAAGAGTTATTTTGTCGGGGTGGAACTACAAAGTAATGTGTTTTAATGAGAGAAAGAGAACATAAGCTTAACTAGCAAGTCTTCTGCATTATACATTGGCCCACCAGACGCACCTAAGAAGCCCTAAATGGGAAATCAAGAGATCCTTTCTTTCCCATTGTTGTTCTTGGACTTCTAGTAGGATTGCTTCTATGGCTCCTACACGGTTTAGTAGTCATGGATAGATTTGTTCTTCCATGTTTGTTTCCTCCTACAGGAACTGGTCAAACTTCTCCACAAAGCTCTAGAGGCAGCACAGCAAGAGAAACGAGAGTCCTGCAAATATCTGGTCACAACTACGGAAAAAGACAGGCTGGAATTAGTGCGTCACAAAGTGAGGCAGATTGCTGAGCTGAATAGACAGGTTCAGGTGCTAGAGATGGAAAAGAAAGACTTGGAGCAGGAGGCTGCTTTGAAGGAGGAGCACCTCAAGGAGCTCAGAGAACATGCACAACTCTTGATGGACAAAAATGAAGCCAAGCAACAAGTCATCCTCAAGCTGACAGAACAGCTCACTAGAGAGATGTCCGATTCGGTTACCAAGGCAGACAGCATCATGACCGAGACCTTGTACAAGCAACAGGAAAAGATTGAACACCTAAAGGTACCCTTCAGAAGAATTCATAACTAGGCTCAAATTGTATAATCAGTGCAATATTGTTGCATTTTGGCTATATAGTCTTTCACAATTTTATACTTATTGTTTTGCCAATGATATGCTTGTGTGCTGCATATATATGTAAACACTTCTAAAAATAGAACAGGATTGGGCAACAAATTCATCCTCCTAAAAACTACTGACTCATATTTAGTTTACAAGTTTGCGGCAGTTACAATAGAGAAAACATGTTTCAAATAGATGACAATACCCACCTAATTTTTGGGAAGCCAGAGCTACCATTCAATTAAGATTTCCCTGCTTGACAATAAAAATTTGATGCTATTGTAGTTCTTGGCTTTTTCCTATAAATGAAAAACAGAGAACATATTTATGTAAATTAGGATACACTATGCATAGTTGTTTACATAAAATAATCCATGTAATTGCACAATGAACTTTGTAAGATTCATGCAAGCGGCACAGCTACGATAAGCTCACAATTTGCACCACATATGTGCAGATTTAACTTTTATATATTTGTTAGCATGGGCAGTGCATAGACTTAGCGGCTGCAGCCAAAACTGACAGAACTGATGTTGTAAGTCAGTGTGGTCACATGACCTTGTGCTTAATGACCTTGCTACTTCGCTTAGTGATGGAGTTGCCAGTCCCTATTGCAGTTGGTAAGCGAAGGCTAGCTGCACCATAGCCTCTTGAATTAAGTCTTAAACAGTATTTTAAATGAACCGATAAAACCTTATAGATTATAGATGCCTAGCGTATCTGCAGCAGTACACATAAAAGGTTTATTGTTGATGATCTAAGAATGTGATCTAAGAATGTGTTCCTCTTTGACTGGTGCTAAGTCAGAGAAGCCTTTGAACTGTATCTATGGCATGAATATCCATCAATCTGCCTTGAGTCCTCAGTTGTATGGGCCTTAGTTCTGTAAGTCATTGGTCTATATATTTGTGTGACTTTAACATTTGTCAAAGTCTACACAGACATTAGAAGGATGAAGGCTTATGTTACATTTTAGGCCTATGTTCTTGATCAATTTGGAAAACCAGGGAAGGGTCACCACACAAAAATAAAAAGAGCCTGATCCTTCCTTCCTTCCTTCCTTCCTTCCTTCCTTCCTTCCTTCCTTCCTTCCTTCCTTTATTTCTTCCTTGTTGATTGTGGTGTCCATCAATTTATACCTAACTGCATATGCATTTTAGGGTGAGGGTTACTTTACATGCCTTTTTATGTCTTTTTCTCAGGATGATCTTGAGGCATACAAGACTCAGAACCAATTTTTGAACTCCGAAGTCCACCAGGTTAGCAAAATATGGAACACAGTGGCCCAGAGAGAAAAAAATCTTCTGATGAAGGTAAGAAGCAAGGCTATTTGACTCACATTGGTGTTTTGTTTGTTTTTAATTTGCTTTTCAAATATATAGGAAGTTTTCAACTTGTCTATCAAATACAGGAACTTTAGGAACTCTTTTTATTTGCTCATTTCTCATGTCTCTGGCATATAATTGTTTACATGATGCAGTCTGAGGAGGGCCACTTGATTGGCTTCACCCCAATTTTGGGTTCTTGGGCTAGCTGTGGGTTCAATGTTCACATGTGTTTACCCACAAACACATATATGTGCAGATTGGTTCAGTGTGATTGCAACATTTCAGGATTCCCTAGATGTAGATAGACAAAATAAACTTGCCATCAAATTGCTGCTACAGTTAACCCAAATGATTCCAGTTGTAACATAATCAACAATAAATGATGCAGTCTGTTAAAAAGCCATTACTTTTGTTCATAAATAAGTACAAAACATGTATTTGGGGAAGATGTATTCAAAAAGAGCACACCTTTTGAAAAAAAAAATCATATTAACAGCTAGGTGAATGTAAACGAAAGTTGTAAAGAATTCAATGTTTTCCATTTTTAATTTACAAAATTTGCAATTCTGAGAGGAACCAAACTTGGGTTGAGAGGCACAACCCAATGGAGATTTATCGGTAAATAGATATTTGAGTATAGGAGTTTCATGATGGTAAGAAATATTCATCTGTAGATAGCTGCTAATGCCTGCCCCCCCCCCATAATTATGTAATTAAGGCATAAATATTATCCACATATCAAATGCCTAGCCTCATAAACTGATGATATGAGCTATCATCTTCAAATAGAGACTGTATGGTCATCTGAGATAGTTTGACAGATGATCAAGGAGCCTTCACTGACCAGGGGGCTGGACTTGATTACTTATAAGGTCCCATCCTATTCGATGATAGTATGAATTATCATCTAAATATGCCCCTATCATCACATCCAAAATGAGGCAATGCAGTTAAAAGCAATCTTGACGATTAGCGGATGGGATGATCAGTGGAAAAAAGAGAATCCTTAATTTAACCCAATGTTACTATCATTGACCGATTGCTAAATTCTTATCAAGAAAATAACATACAGCAGTTGTTACTTTTTGAGGAAATATTGCGAGGGCATAATTTTTTTCACCATTCCTAAAGCTGACTGGCACCAACACCTGTTGAATTCCCACAGCATATAAAGTGTTTCAAAACCAGAAGTGTGGTGTGTCGGTGTTCTTTGCAATACCTCCCATGTATTCATCTCAGGTGGTCTTAAAATCACCTCTTCAAAAATATCATGAAATCCCAATTCAGAAAAAGTTAACAGAATTGCAGATTTCTTGCAACACTAATGGGGAGGGGGAAATCCCCATCTAATAAATATGCAAACATATAGGCATACTACGTACTATATGAGGGGTGCAATGGCCTAGCAGCTGGGCTTGTCAGCTGGAAGGTTGGCAGTTCGAGACTTAAATGTTGTGGAATAGAGTGAGCCCCTGTTCTTGCCCCTAGCAGTTCAAAAGCATATAAACGTAAGTAGAGAAATGTCACTTCGGTGGGAAAGTAACAGCATTCTGTGCCCCTTGGCGTTTAGTCATGCTGGGCACATGACCACGGAAATGTCTTCAGATAACATTGGCTTTCTCAGCTAGGAAAGGGAGATAATTACTGCCCTCTAGAGTCAAAGTCGACTGGGCAGGGGAATCCTTTACCTTTACATACTATATACAGGTCAAATGAAGGACACATGAGTTTATACTAACAAGATCAGATTCCTGTGTCAAACAATTGATTTCAATACTCCATATGTTAATCTATAGATGGTTGCTTTATTCTTTAAAAAAAAAACCTTAAAAATCAGAACACATTCAGAATGAATCCAAGAGGCAGATGGAATAATCCTCTGTTTTGACAACTTTTTTTTTCTCTTCATGCGGCAGTGTGCTCAACTGCAAGCCCACAATTGCCAGATTGAAAGCAAGTACCTGATGTCTCTACGGACCCTGCAGGGGCTGCCGGATTTGGCTAAAGAACACATGGCATTGGTGACGGGACTCATTGAAGAGGCACTGCAATGGGATATGAAGGAAGAAACCCTGATTCCTATTCCGCTAAGCCCAGTCAAGTAAATTACTAATAGGTCCATTTGTGGCATGCCTATGGGTCANGAGAAAAGGAGAAACATGCTCTTGGAAAGCAGCCCCCACCTTTGTTAATAGCCCCAGAAAGACTGGACCATTCTATCTACAGGACAAAAGGCCTTTAGCCAATAGGATGATAGGATTAGCCCTCACTCAAAATCCAAAGCAGGACAAAGCCATCAAGCTGTAATAGGAATTGTCCAACACACTTTCAGAGCAAGATTTAACCAAGCCTAGGACTCAAGACAATTTACAAAGTTACCCCTGCATAGCCCCATGGGAGTCTGACCGCAACCAATAAGATAAGCTCACATTCAATAGAGTATAAATCTCTTTCTTCCATGTGCTTAATTGCCCAGGATCTCAAACCATGTGGTCCTGTCCAGATTGAACCATCTTTCCAAACAGCCACCATGTTTCCAGTGTCTTTCTCCTACTTGGAACTGAACCCAGATGGACATTTTTTCCAACAGTCGGATCTCTTTGAATGTCCCACCCACAGAAATCATTGAGCAGAAATCGTTGAACTAATTCCCGACGTTAGTCTAGCTGGTTTTTTTTTTAATAGAATACTTCAAAATATTTTAATCGTTGCACTGCGGTCAAGCGTTGCATAAATCTTCCTTTTTACGATCTTTTCTGTAACTGCCGATTGCTCTCAGCCGCTCTTTTGGCTGCTAAAACCGAAAGTTGCAATCCAAGAACCGTAAAAATTAGAAGAGGTCTTTAACGCCATCCAGCCCAACCCCGTATTTTGCTCGGTGCCAAAAGGCTCAGGCAAGCCTCCCTTCAGATAGCTGACAAGGGGGAAGATTTGCAAACGGTGCGCTACGTCGGGCAACGCCTACGTGATTCAAGTCCAAGTGCCCGCAGCAGAGCTCCTGCTTAAGAGAGCAATCGGGAAGACTTCTTGAGGAGAAGGCTGCCTCCTCGCTCTCTTTCCCGCTTATGGGACTTGGAGCCTGTTGGGCTGGCACTGCCTGGCACCGCCTTACCCCGCCCCGTCAGGAAGCAGATGTCTGATCGCCTTGCGTCGGCCTGCTCCGCCGGGTGTCCAAAGGCGGCTGCGAGCGTTGCCATGGAAGGGCTGAGCCGAGGTAAAAAGAGCGGGTCGCAGCAGTGACTGTTCCGGGGAAACGGCTAGCGTGGACTATCGGGATGCGCATTAGGCAAAAGTTAACTTTTTTTTCACTTCAGGAGGGCAGTCGCCTTGGAATGTGCCGTAAAACAGAAGCACAACGGTTGCTTCCCGGGCATTGCTCACCTAAACCACTCGCGATGTTTCTCAGGGCATCTATGCTCTGAGGCTTGACGCCCCTGATGCATAGCCTGTGACGCTGGAGTGGCCAAAAGTATATGCAGACAGATAGTGTGGGGTAAAAAAAGAAGAAGAAAAATAACAAGGTTGTGATTTCATTGTTTTGCTTTGTAGCCTGTCTTTTTTTTTTCCGGGAGCCTCCCCCCCACCCCGCCCCCCAAATATAATTCTGTGAGGTAGGCTGAGTTGAGAGAGTCAGTACAATGTACAGAATTTATCCAATGGCAAATTTCACTTGAAAAGAAGCAGACAAATAGATTTCTCCCCTTTCCTTTTTTTAAAAAAAAAGTGGGACCCCCACGAAAGGATGGGAATTCAAGGCAGCCATCAGCCTTCCCATCTATTCATTTTAATGGTAGAATTCACAGTCTCCTGGTTTCTGGCCGGAAGCCTGGTTTTGAAATTTTTTGAGGTCTCCATTTTGGTTCCTTCTTTGGCATAGGGACTGGGATGCTTGTCTAATAATACAAAATTATATGACAAAGATGATAGCGGATATCATATTGAAGACAAACAAGTGTGAAAATCTGCAAATGTCTGACTAATGCTATTAGTTCTTGTATTTCAGAGGAGATGCAGGAGAGCATTTTTCCACTTCTGTTTCTTTTTAGGAACTCTTCTAATTCCTTTTAAGACAGAGCTGAGTAGTCTTTTGGCGGCCAGAGGTTAAATGTTGTAACTTTGGAGAAGGCAGAAAGCTGTAGTACTGGTTATTTAGAGTCATTGTAGTAACAACTTATATTCTCTAAAACATTTCTCCGTTGTATTATGTAATATTATGAATGTTTAAAGTTCAACTCCTATTTTGCCTAAACTTGTTGGCAAGAGAAGGAATTTAAATTACACCACATCTTCTTGTCTATGCATTTTAAAACTTCCTGCCCAAAGAAGACTTCAAAATTTTTTGAAGACTTCAAAATGTGCACACTTGAGCCATATTCCTTGTTTCTAATAAAGATGACAGCCAAGAATATATTTAAAAAATAATATTTTTTCTATTTATTTATGGCTTTAGCAGAATGAATAACACCAATTTATTTAAATAAGGCAAATGGAAAAAAATCTTTTCTGCATTTGGCATTTGAAAAACATTAGATTCTATTTGGAATTTCAGATAATCTTAGGTGATTGGTCTTAGACTGGTTATACTTTACTGTTCTTAACTGGTGTCTGTTATCACTTTTTTGCAATTAGTATTCGACCATCAAAAGAGCTGTTGTTCAAAGAACCATGAAATCAGATCATGAGGACAGAGAGGGTCTTCTTGTACCTGGAATATCAAACATGTCACCAGAGGAAAAAATGGCAGACACCAGGAATAGCAGTTGTGATATCATCAGAGATGTATCTCCATGTCCTGAGGTTTGGAGAAATGCTGATATAAAACCTAGCCAAGAAGCCTCCAGGAAAAAACTATGTGGTTATTTATATAAATGTTCTTCTAAAGCACCAATCAAGACCTGGAAGTCACGCTGGTTTTGCTATGATGAAAATAAATGCTACTTGCTATACTACAGGACAGCACAGGATATTAATCCTTTAGGAAGCATAGAGATTTCCATTGCGAGTTTTGATCCGAAAGTGGGAGCAGATGAAGGTATTTTTGAAATCAGGACTCCCATCAAAGACTTTATTCTTAAGGTATGTAATTGCAGGAAGATATGGTGGGTGGGTGGATGTGGCCTGAATTGGGACCGAAGCCCCAATTATATTAATAATGTCAGCATCTTGAGAGATATTTTCAATAAAATTGCTAAACAAAGGATTCAGTAATTGTCCAAGTTTAAATTTGTTAGACAAAACATTATAAAGTAAGAAACTGATTGTGTTCTTGCCTGTGATAGGTAAACAAATACTCAGTGCTAGAAATATTTAAAGAAACTTTGTATTGAAATATGGCTTGAAAAGTTCTGGCTAGCTGCTATGCTTGCAATTTTTTTCTTTAAAAAAATGATATGATATCTTTTTAATGACAACATGACATTGTTGGGCAAGCTATTGGCTTATCTCTAAACATTCTCAATAGATAGCATTGTTATGAAACATGACATTGTATGCAAATAAATGTAACCTTTTGCTGGGTGGATAAATATATTCTGTCCAGGACAATCATATTTTAAAATATCACAGTAGCATAGTCCACGACTTATGACCACAACTGAGTACAATATTTCTGTTGTTAAGTGAGACATTTGTTAAGTGAGTTTTGCCCCATTTTACCACGTTTCTTGCCACAGTTGTTAAGTGAATCACTGCAGTTGATAATTTAGTAACTCAGTTGTTAAATGAACTTGGCTTCCCCATTGACTTTGCTTGTCAGAAGGCCACAAAAGGTGATNGAAGCAAGAATGGAGGCTTTTCTTCTTGTGTTGCAACATGGCACACCCCTCCAAAAGGGGCGCAGCTTCCAGTGCAATGCTACAATTCTACTTCCTGCATTTTAATGAAAGCAACAAGAGTCGGCGGATGAGATGGTTTGTATTTGCACCAGGCTCACTGTGGCTGGAAGCACGAATTTCAGATTCATTGTTTCAACTGATGGCCCACTGATAATGCTACATGTTCTTATGCTGCTCTTGCAATAACGTAGGTTAAGTTGAGGTTGGATAACTTAGCTTTAGTTGCTGGTTGTCACTTGGGTATTCAAACAGCAGACAAACATAGCTCACTTTACTTGCCTTATTTTTGGTCCGTGTTATTGTAACAGCTAAAAACAAGTAGATCATTAGTCTGACTAATTTTTATTGAAGTGCATAATTATCAAATGCTAGGCTTCCTTCAGGATCTCCAAAAGGTGCCTCCATTTTTTAAAAAAACATTGTTACAATGTTTGTACAGTATGCTTAAAGACAATTCACATTTTCACTGCCCGCGTGGCCTAATAATTTGTCATTTCCCTAATTCTGTTCTTTCCACTGTTTAGTCAATATGATGATTACGGGTTTATGACAATTCCTGAGTATGAAGCTGCAGACTGGAAGCTCTTGGCCAAAATCCAGGCCCTGGAGATCAAATGCACAAATCTGAACAAGGAGACCACAGAGAACCCTCTCTTTGAGCGATGGAATAACCTTGGGGAACTGACTCCCTCCTTGGAGCTAAAAAGCTTATTGCGGTGTGGTGTCCCATCAATGCATCGCCAGAGGGTGTGGAGGTGGATTATCAGCCATCGGTTAAAGCAAACACGCTGTCCTGGTCATTACCATAATTTACTCAAGAAGTGTGAAAATGCTGAGCACCCAGCTTCCCAGCAAATTGAACTGGATCTGCATCGCACGCTGCCCAACAATAGACATTTTATGTCACCAACTTCCCAGCTTATTCCCAAACTCAGAAGAGTTTTACTGGCATTCTCCTGGCAAAATCCAACCATTGGCTATTGCCAAGGACTGAACAGGTGCCTGCTTACGTTTTTTTCTACTTCTTCGCTTCAGATGTAGCAAAGTTTTTTTTAAAGAATCCTCAGGGTCATCAGCATTTTTTGTTGTTGTTTTCATTTTGCTGTAATTTTCAACATTGAAAATTCAGATTTGTGACCATCTGAAGTGTCACAGGTCTAATGTGTAATATGTTTACCAGATTTAGTTATAATGGTGTCTTACTCATCCTAGATTGGCTGCCATTGCCTTGCTGATCCTAGAAGCAGAGGAAGAAGCTTTCTGGTGCTTAGTTCATATCACAAATAATTTAATGCCTCACGATTACTACAGCAACACATTAATAGGCTCGCAAGTAAGTCTGAGGCTCCCTTCTGTGCTGAGGAACAGGATAATTACAGAATTTTATACTGTGAGAAATAAGTAATTTTGAGAATTGCTTATATTGGGAGGGTCTACAGAATAAAGAATAACAGAGTTGGAAGGGACCTTGGAGGTCTTCTAATCCAACACTTTGCTCAAGCAGGAGACTCTATACCATTTCAGACAAGTTGTTATCCAGTCTCCCCTTAAAGGCCTCCAGTAACAGAGCATCCACAGTTTCTGAAGGCAAGCTGTTCTCACTGTTAGGAAATTTTTCCTTAGTTCTAGGTTGCTTCTCTCCTTGATTAGTTTCCATCTACTGTTTCTTGCCTTGCCTTCTGGTGCTTTGGAGGATAGGTTGACCCCCGCCCCCACTTATTTGTGGCAGCCCCTCAAATATTGGAACACTGCTATCATGTCACCCCCTAGTCCTTCTTTTTCTAGACTGGCCATATTCAATTCCTGCAACCATTCTTTATATGTTTTAGTCTCCAGGCCCCTAATCATCTTTGTTGCTGTTCTCTGCACACTTTCCAAAGTCTCAACATCTTTTTTTTTAATATGGTAACTAAAACTGGACTCCAAAATCCCTCTCATAGTTACAGCTTTTGATGCATATACTGTATATGGATTTCATTCACTAAAGTTGATCTTATTGCAATAGCTACCGTGTAAGACTGTATGTTTGTTTCAAAGTGCTGGAAATAATATTAAAACATACTTTAAATGGTTCCAGACAGGAGTAACTAAAAAACCTCATTTTTCCATATAGATCTTCCTCTCTATAAGAATTATCAACCCTTGAGACCATAGAAATTATGAATAGCCTTTCTAACGTACGTGCTTATCACTACGATGTTTTGCCAAATCCAGGTAGATCAAAGAGTTTTCAAAGACATCTTATCAGAGAAGCTTCCCAGGCTGACAGCGCACTTGGACCAACTTCAAATTGACCTATCGTTAGTGACCTTCAACTGGTTCCTGGTTGTTTTTGTCGATAGTCTTGTCAGTGATCTCCTCTTTAGAGTTTGGGATGCTTTCCTCTATGAAGGAGCAAAGGTAAGAAAGTTATATTCATCTGCAAAGTTGGTTAAGTGTCTTTGTATATTTTCCAGCAGCCAGACCCACTTTGGATCAATTTTCTGGACACCTAACACGTTTATTGAATCTTTACTATCTTTGTAAATTATTCAGGTGTGACTACATCCTTCCAGTAATACAGTACATGAAATCAACCAAGTTTTCTTTTTGTCTCAGGTGATATTCCGTTACGCACTCGCAATTTTTAAATATAATGAAGAAGCAATATTGAAGATTCAGGACAATCTGGAATTCTATCAATATCTTCGTTTTTTCACCAAAACTATCTGTGACGGCAGGTAAAAATGTTCTTAGAAGCCAAAGGCAGTGCAGGAAAACCAACGCAGATCAAGTAGTTTAAATAACATATAGCTGAGGCAAAGGGGGATTAATAATGATGGTACAATGGCATCTCCCAAATACCGTGTTGTGCATACTTGCATCTTGTCAGGATGCAAGCACATAATGACAGCATTTGAGAGATAATGTCATTATTCAGATGACACTTTTCCATCATCGTAGTTTGCTGCAGATGCTTTTGTCTTATATAAAGCTTGGATTAACTGCATATAATAAAATAAAAGCTTCCTAGGAAATCTGAATTAGTGTGAAATAAGAGAGGCCTTTGGCAGAACAACACAAACATGTTGATCTTTGGACCGGAACTTTGCAAAACTGCTATATTTTGAAGAAGGATCTTTCTCTTCCAAATGTCTGTTCTGCCAGAGTTGCCAGGTTTCTATTTCTTCTTTGGCTCATGTAGTTCTCCTCTTTCAGAAAGCTGATGAGCATCGCCTTCGGTGATATGAATCCATTTCCCATGAAGCTGCTTCAGAATCGACGTGAAGTTCACAGATTAAAAGTGGAAGCTGAGCTGAGAGAACTGGAACAGCTGAAAGCCCAGTATAGGAAGGAACAGGCTGAACATGCAGACAACCAACTAGATGGACCTGCAAGTGAGGAGGAAGAAGAGATGTAACTTTCAACTCTCTTGGCATCTCTAAACATTGCCTTTGTTTGAAACACAAAGGCAGCAGTTATTTATGATAAACATTTGGCACCTGGCGTAATGAATGCAGATGTATTGGATAGTTTGCAAGTCCACCACAAATAAGGGTATATCATGCCTTATTTTCACTATGTCTTTTCTGAATATTTTTATGGTGCAGAAAAAATCCTGGATTGCATTCGACTCAAGATTTTCTCTGACTCTAAATCATAAGAATCCCCTTAGAACTTAGTATGATGTACGAATATAGCCATTATGGTTTGTGAATCCTAATTTATGGCAGGCCTGCACAACTTGTTGAGAAGAAAGGACCATATTAATAAATTAAAAATAATTGCAGGTTGCATAGGAATACCCCATGCACTGATCAGCTAGCAGAGTGGCAGCAAGGCTGATTGTTGGCAGCATCACTAAAGCTTGGAGGCACTTGGCAGTATGTCTTTTGGGAAAGCAACAGAAGATCCTTCGTGATGGTTGTGCTTTTTTTGGGGGGGGGGCAGTGAATTTATTGATCTTTTTAAAAATGCTAGTGGACCTTCACAGCTGCTTGCTGGGCCACATATGGCCCACAGGCTGAAAATGCAGGCTGATTTTGATTTACTAGTACCCATGGTACATTCAAGTGTGGCTTTTTCAGCCAACCATGGGCGAAGCAAAATGGATTAACCCAATGTTTTGATTCATATTTTTATTATGAATATACTACTTTTGCTTTCCTCATTTTATAGCAGGCTTTCTAATCAATTGGCTTTCCTCAGAGACTGGACTGTATTTCAATCTTAGCAACTCTAACCTCTTGTTGGTTGGGGAATTCTGGGAGTTGAAGTCCACACATCTTAAGTTGCTGAGATGGGGAAACACGGAACTAGATGATTCTTGGGGTCCATTCAGGACTACCATTTTGTGATTCTATTACACAACCCATGATCCTTTAGGGTTGTTTCAAAGATATTTCCTTACTACATTCAGAAATGTTGTTTCAGAGATATTTCCTTAACACATTCATTCCTCAATGCCTTTAACAGTGGTGCAGCTTCTAATGTATTTGAACAGGTCTTTAAAATTCAGGGATATATTCAGAGATGTATCTGCCTTGAAAGTAACCCATATTGAACTGTACATCACAGTCAAACAGAGTTACCGATAGGGAATGTTTTATGACATTTTATATTATGTTTTATAAAATTTCACAAATTTCAATTCCATAGAAGTCATAGACCCTGGATTTTGAATATATTCTACAAGGTAGCTCATTTGAGGTACCTTGGTTCAAAAAACATTGCCCTATGTATGATGAACCATCCCACCTAGTCAAAGGTTACGAGAACAAGAATTTTAGTAGTATGCAGATAGTTGAATTAGATTTTGTAGATTTCAGAATGGAGGGGGGAGGAAAGTAACCACACAATAATCTTTCTTAATGAGATTTGGTGATATTTTTTCAGCACTTTGCTGACAAATTTTCATGCCTGGGGCCAGGGGTGGGATGCTGCCGGCATTACTGCCGGTTCAGTACACAAGAAACTTTTGCACATTTGCACTTAAAAAGGTCTGTGCAGACGCAAAACGTTAGAAAGGAAAAAAAATACATTTCTGCAATGAAAATTGTTCTGTGCATGCAGAGAACTGAAAATTAAGATGGCGGCACTGTAGGAGAACCGGTTCAGGGGTGTGTGGCAAGCCTGGGTTGCTGCAAGTTCCAGCGACCCAGGCAGCCAAGTTACTACTGGTTCAGCCGAACCGGTCCAAACTGGTAGGAACCCACCTCTGCCTGGGGATTAGAAAATAGAATGATAGGATTGGAAGAAGACCTTGGAGGTCTTTAAGACAGGAGGCCTTATACCACCCCTGTCAAATAGTTGTCCAGTCATGGAAGTTTTTGAAAACCTCCATGATGGAGCACCCACAACTCCAGGAGGCAAGCTGTTCCATTGATTAATTGTTCTCATTGTGCATCTTCTTTTCCCTTTTTCTGTTACTAATAGATAATTGTAACACTTGCAATTCATGTCCTAATGCAAAGAGATAAGAGTCAAGGAATATATTAGGTTAAAAGCAAGAATGCAAAAGGCAAGGGGTGGGGGTGAGGGGGTGCCCATGTTAGGGTTAGCTCCCCCACCTTTGCCCATTGTTGCATTTCCCACTACTAGCTTCCTCCTACAACATCCTCGGTGGTGTTGCCTGCTTCTTCTTCAATCCCACACATCTTCCTATAGCCTTGTAACCATTCTGCACTCCGTCCCCTAAATCTTTTCAAATTCATTCAGTCATTAAGATTGAAGCACTTTATTTATTTATTTATTTATTTAAGTTGAAGGAGCAGCAAGTCAGAGGTTTGCTCCCCAAAAATCTCCCCCCCCCCTTTAGCAGAGTGGCCTTAACAAAGTAGAAGGACTCGTGTGACTTTGAAATTGATGAAAGATACAGGAAGCTGTTTCTGTGTCAACTAAAAAAAATGCATGAAAACTTGCAGGGCATTTATTGTTAAAAGTTATCTTCAGTGTCATATCTCCCCCTGCTGATAGGTTGTGGAACTGCGACAAAATACCCCTACAACTGAATAAAAAATAAAATGGCTTCATTCACTTTGATCCTAACCTTGTCCATTTTTAGAGTGTTGCACCTAGCATGCTGTGCAAAGTCCATCCCTGTGGTCAAACAACAGTGGACATAGGAAAAATATTTCTTCATAGTCTGCTCCATGGTGGAACCCTCTAAGGGGATTTAACATCTCAAGAATTGTTCATTAGCTTAAGAACCTATCTCTCTGTATATTTTAATGAGGTAGTTAATTAAGTGGTGCATATCTGTCATTCATTTCATCCTCCTCAATTATGTAAACATTTGCCAAGGACTCCAATCTGAAATCTCCCATTCTATGATTGAGTCTTAACAACAGTAATTATCTGTGCTCAAACTAGCATCCTGTCTGAGAATGGAAAAGACTACAGAATAGGGCCTGAGGCAGAACTTTCTGAGAAGGCAAAGCCTTATGCAAGTCCTCCAGAATTGGTTGGGTGTTCTGTGCAAATTTCAAACAAATCACTTGGCTAAATTTAGCTAAATCTGCTGTAACTGCAATCTTTCTCTGCTTTTTCTTAAAACTTATAGCTTCTATTTGTACAGGTAAAATTGCTTCTATTTTAATGACTATGTGACTCTTAAACATCCCGTCCTAAAAAGCGAGTTGCTTTCACAAAGGCCAGAGAGATGTTGTTTTCTTGTGAGATATGAAACATTTCTTCCGATTTATTTTTGAAGTTTCCCCAGCCCAACTGATCTGTTGACTGAGCAAAAACTTCTGATTGTGCTAGCAAAGTGTAGATGCAGATTTATGACAGATATTTGTTGCTGGATTAAACCAGCAGAGAAGAGAGACAGTAGAATGAACTGGTTTTCTTGTCTGGCCAACACTTTTTCTTACCTGGCATGACAGACGCACGATATTTTATTATTGGCAACTACCAGAATAACCCAAAAAGTGGCTGCAAAGCAAAATTACCAAAATCCTTTATATCAGGCTTAGTGTGATACAAAACTATATGAAAAGGACGTAGAAGCAGAAACTAGATGATGCTACTTAAACCAGGCTGTGTGCTTTCCTTGTAACCAGCCATAGCTGATTCTCTATGCTGCTTTGTCATCTCTTGTAAGGGCACTGACTGTTCCTGAGCAACCAGATCAGAGTCGTCCGAGGATGCTTCCTTCTTTCCAGAAATTTCTAATGTTAAGGAGCTTAAATCCTGATTCCCAACAGCAAAACAGGCTTTGCTTTGTGTTCTTATTTACCTGATGCAGAGAATGGATTCTTAAGAGATAGGCCCCGTAACATTTGTGGTCCAATGCACTTTCAGTTCAGATTGGTGGGATATGAGAGAAGGCTACTACCCATCTTCCTGATATGATGTTGCTTTTCTCCCGTTTGTGCTAAATTCCGTAGTTACATATCTTTGCGACTAACCAGTTTTTTAAAAAAGCTTTAAATAAACAAATTATAGTTCATGTGTATCTTGTTGGTCTGAATGAATTTTTGCCTGCTTCTTTGCAAATTCCTTAGAGTGACATATACTGGTCTTGCGCCCCTCTTTTCTGATTCATAAACTGAATGGCCTCCTTTTCTTATTCCATCAAAACAAAGCTAAATTTGTTGTTGATTAATTAAAAGGAAAAGTGGAATGTAAATGTAACAATACTAACTATATTGTCATTTAAATGCATTGATTTGATTTATTAAATTAAAGACACTTTTTTAAAAGTTCCCTTTTAAACCAAGATGGATATTTTGCACCATTCCTTGAGATATGTGGGGAGGAGGGTGAAGAAAAGCATTGACCTCCAGAGCTCATTAAAAGCCTGAATTAGGTTTCATTCCCAGCTACCTTGATCTTTGGTTTCAGGTGTAGGTTGAGAAACATAGGATTATCTTTCAAGAACTGCTTTATAAAAAAATTTCATTTAATGACCATTCATTCAGTGATCATTCAAGTTTACAACAGCACTGAACAAAGGATTTGTCATGGCTAGAATAACAAGGACTAATCATAACACACCCATGGTCATGTGAACAAAATCAAGGCTCATGCACATTTACAACTGCCACCACCCTTCCCCAGCTGATCTTCATCAGCTTTGCCTATGTCCCCTCAGTTGGGTTTACCACCTTGGCCTCATATGAGGAAGGTGCCTTGAAAATGTCCTGCAAGCTCACAGGTGGGTGCCACGATCCTTTATGCCACTACCACCCGGTTTTTTCTTTTAGGAATCATCTGGGACTTCTTTTCATGAAAGGTAGCTCTAAATGGCGTGTTAAAAGCCCCAGTGTCACCATTGCAAAAGAAGGACCTGACCAATAGTGGCATGCATGGGGCAGGGGCAGCTGAATGTAGTGGGTAAACGAGCAGCCAGAAGGGTAGAGATGGCCAGCAAGGTAATTAGATGGGGGAAATTTAAATGGAGGCAATCCCTTATATCTTTCAAGAATGGGTTTCCATTTGGCTGGGTCTTCGCCTAAAGACCATATGACATTCTCTCAACAACAGCAAGTGGGATTGCCAGAATTACGTCAATACGTGGACAGGCTGTCATATTTCACTTAAGAATCATATCATTTAGTGATGGTATTGCTGGTCTCAATTAGCGTCCTTTAAGTGAGGATTACCTGAATAGGAACAGAGATCATTGACTCATGTAAAGCACAGCTGTCTATTTGGGATGGCATCAACCACACAATTGCAGATTAGTTATTCCCAAAAATCATTTTATTGTATATGGGAAAAATACTTTTGTTTCAGCTTATTTTGTTTGTTTGATTTGATTGTAATACATTATCACTCCATGCAGCCATTTGGATAACAAGATGGTAACATACCTGACTACCTCTTACTACTGTTGCCTACAACTTACAAGTTCAACTAACCTGGGTCACATTGAATTGGAAGCAACTGAACACTGAATGAAAACTGAAGAATAATAGCAACAAAGAAATAATAAACTCACCTGTAAAATAAATATTTTAAAAATCACTTATACTTGCAAGCACTTGTGCATGTTTAATAGTAAATGTTATTCATTAATTTTACATTCTGTTAAGAATGTAACTAATGTAACTATTGATAGGTTTTTTTTTAAATTATCAATCAATGCATTAAAAGCTTGGTTGCCAGTCTGGAAACCTCTTGTGCTCATCATTGGAACTCTACGTAGTTACCTAAAAAATCTACCGTAAGGATAAAATTAAAAATCTACATGTTTTTTTCAAGAGGCATGAAGACATCAGATGTCTCTATTCTGACTCTATACGCGTTCTTTTAGCTTTGGTGACTATTGGAATGTATTACTATTGGTACCCTGAAGTGGTGTTGTGTGGTGCTAAAATGATTCTATTTAGATTATACTGCATGTGTGAGAGACCAAAACAATAACCCCAGTTTTTCTCTAATATGCTGCCTTTGCCTTCTATAAGAAAGAAGAGTCAGAATGTTGTAGTGGCTGAGGTGTTATACTAGTACTAGGAGGAACCAGCACTAGGAGGAATTAAGTCCCTCTCAGCCTTGTTGATCCACAGATCACCTACCTTATAACTGTCCATCTGATTTTTCCTGAATATCACCGAATTGCATCTTGTTGCAAAGGCCCAATGTTAAATCTGTCATGATACTTCTGAACCCTGAGCTTATCTTCTTAGGTGTTAGCATTTCTCCCCATGTTTGGGTCGTTTGCAAATCTGATAGTATCCCTTCTCCCCCATCATCTGAGATTTATGAACACCATTGAAGAGCACCGCATCCTGCACAGAAACACAAAGTGGGGAAAAAATGGTTCCCACCTGACTAGATAAAACAGACAAATCTGGTCTGGGATTTCAAGGGTTTCCACATCATATTCCTAAGTGTGATGTTCAGCAGACTACCTTGGATGTTATCGTTATGCAAAGTCTGTAGGTGATATAGCAAGAATTTGGTATACACACATTGCTAGGAATAATGCTAAGTGTTTTCGTACTTTATTTACTTATTTTATTTCAATAGCTACTCATCTCAACAAGTAATTATGGGCAGCATACATCATAAAACATAAACAATTGAAAGAGTACACGATTAGAATATGTGGCATCAAGTAAAACTGTTACTATGGATGTTAATACAGCTGGGAAATGGGCCCTTAACCGACTCAGGGCCAAGGTTGGGCTTACAACTAAGTCGTCACAGTCTTGTAAAAGGTCAGGATGGCCAGGTTTATGCTAATATTTGAAGACAGAATATTCCAGAGGGCAAGGGCTATGGCAGAGAAGGCATGTGTCTTGGTTCTTGCCAGTCAATATTCCTTGACTGATGGGACCACAGTATGCCCAACCTGCCTGATTAAATTGGATGGGCAAAAACACCAAGGAGAAGGCAGTCTTGTGAGGTAACCCAGCCCCAATCCATGAAGGGCTCTAAATATGATAACTAGCACCTTGAATTATACCTAAAAACATACTGGCAATCAATGTAGCTGACAAAGCAGTGATGTTACATATATTAAATAACTCATGTCCTTTACTACCTGTACAGTCACATTCTGCCCTGGTTGAAGCTTTAATTTTTGTTACCTCTGAGTCCCCAGCTACTGCTACTGCTTTTAATAACATCTGACTATTTTAGGCAGGTTTAATTCTTTTCTTTGTTATTAGAAAGAATTGGGACAGAATGGTCGTGTGCATTTCCTCGGCTTCAAAGACACGCAAGTCTGCTTCTACAAATACAGTAATGGTACTATTTGAGACCTGAGAAGTTCTCCCAGGAGATCTTTCAAACTTTTGTGGGAAACACCCAGAACTTCAGAGTATGCTTTTAGATTTGCAATCTAAATCCAGCTTCATGTGATGTGAGAGCTAAAGCAG